ATATATATATATATATATATATATATATATGTATATGTATGTACACACACACACACACACACACACACACATATATATATATATATATATACAGACAGATATATATACACATGTACCCATATATATATATATATATATGGTGCAATGAAGAAAATGTTGAAGCCCTTAAGATAGTAGCTAGAAAATGTCTACTCTCTATATAGCTTGATCCAAGCAGTGTCAACTTGATATGTGATTCAACAATATTTCAAAGTGAGTACTTGACCATTTATAAAATGTACAGTAGTGCCTCATTGTGGCTGGATATAGATAGTCCACATACTATCGATAGCCATGTATCGTGAGAAATCAAAGTTAGCAAACTGATGGAAAGATCTTTACCAGGAATCAGGTGTCCGGAACTGTGAAACCGATTGCCTTGTTTTCTACCTGTTCGGATATATCTTACTTGTTGCTATATCTATTTGTAGTTTATGCTTTTATCGCATTCGGAAAATTAGATTGCCTCGTTTTCTTTGTGATTGTTATATTAATACCATATTATTGTGAATGATGCAGAAAGCACATGTTCTGGAAGAGTGGTTCAAATTGCTAACTTCAACTTTAGCAGAGGCTAGTGATCAGCCTTCAGCAACGGAGTGCATGTCTAATCAGAATCAGGAAGATGTTTTGACTTTATTTGTACCTGATAAAACAATGTTATCAAGGGCATTGAAGTCTGTGCTTGGTGTCTACGAATGCGGCAATCATCAAAACATTGCTCAGAGATTCAAGAAATTAGCAAGCATCTTATTATAATCTTAGTCATTCACTTAATACGTGTAATTGATATTATTGTATGCACCATGAAGTTGGTTTGTTTCACTGGAGACTACCATATCCCAGCGACGAGCTCTTTTACTAGGTTGGGTCATATGCAGCATTTCTATTGCGCAGGCCCTGCTGTCGCTTGTGCGTTTGAAATCGGAGGACAAGGCCAATCAAGATCCGTCCCATCGTGCTGCATTCAAGGCCTTCGGAATACTTTATTTGTAGACCCTCGCAGAACAGTGATGAAAATCCTTTTGATGAAGAAGATTCTGTCTCATTCTTATTGGCTGACCAACTTCAACTTTTCAGCTTGTTTACAAAAGTGATCGATGTTCTTGGTGTGTCATTTTTATAACTTAGATACGAGGACATGCGAAGATTACAGATACCTGTGGACGTCTGGATGCCTTCGAGTGGAATGGAATTTGTATCCGTGCCTATCTTCGATATAATGCTGTGTATATTTATGCATTTTGGTTTTATTCATGTTTGTATAATATATGGAGAGCTTGTGGTAGACTTGATAGTTTCATTTTGATTAGCTTTTGTGATTGTTTTAGGTTTATAAATGCAAGTTGTATGCAGTTATCGCATAGAGACAAACTGTCAAAAACCTTAGAGCTATTTGAGTGGTGTATGCTTGGATGGGCTTTGGGGATAGTATTTAGTATTGGTTTGTTGTCTTGTTTCATAGTAATGTCGTGTGCACTTGTAAAGACTTTTGGTCGTAGCAGATCATCTTGGAACTTTTATCTTACGATCTTTTACATCTTTCAAAATTTATGTTTTTAATTTGCGTTGTTTATTAAATGTTTATTTAATTAATTGCTTGTGAATTATTAGTAACAGTCTCTTTAGCTCGTCTTTTTTTTTTTAAGGTCCTTATGGGATCCATAAGAAGCTTCAAAAAGATTAGTCCTTTGTGGATGGACACATAAAGATATCATATAATTTAGGCAAAATTAATTAAGCCCGTCATATAATTTAGGCAAAATTTACGTGCGATCATTTGAGGGTAATGGGCGTAGAGGCGTAGGAAAAGAAGTTACTTAGAGGAGTGAGCATATGAGATTGACATTCAAAGTAATGATCAACCCTTTGCACGAGAGACACCACGAGGATAAGCTAGTTGGAAAGACCATTTAACACATGAAGGTTGGGATGATGGATAAATGTTGAGCTACAACTCGATGTTGACAATCAAATTTGATGGTGCTCAAGGCAAGCAGTGCATTTAGTAAAGGATGAGAGCGTGCAAGATCGAGTGGGTTGTTTAGCATCTGAAAGAGTTATGCAAATCTCACAAAGGTGAGAGGAATTACTAACTCTTAGTACTCATACAAAGACTTGTATGCAGATGATGGATTGTTTGTGGTTATCCCAACACAATTGAAACTTAACATCATAGAGCATTGAAACTTTCTTTTCGATATGGGTTTCGATATGGGAAGGATACGTCCGTAGGAGACTTAAGTATATAACAAATTTAGCATGTTGCTAGGCCTTAAGGGGCATAACGAGAGTTGCATTTACGGAGAGTTGTAATCTAGAGAGTGTGTTCGTGAGAGTGGAACAATACACAGTTCGTTCAATAACGTGAAGTAGTCTAAGTGGATGGTAGTCTTCAAAACTTACAAAAGGATGCATGAGATAATGTGTTGGTAAACACATTGTGAGATCAAGTGGGGGAGTGACCCCGTAGCATTAAACGAAAAGACAATTAGAGTCAATGTGAAGATCAAACTCAATGAAGGGTTGACCAATGGAATGGTGGGCGTAAAAATCACCATCAACTCAATGCAAATCGAGGAGCGAAGTAACTTAGGTGAAACTTGATAAAGTGTCCAAGCCACATAGAGGGAGTTGACATTGAAGACAAAATATAGAGAGAAGGTTTAAAGTTTTCCTTGGATTGAGGTCAAAAACATAAATTCTTATCTTTTTTTCCTTAGATAGAGGTCAAAGATATAAACTCTTACAAAGACAAGAGTAAGATTATGTTGTTCCATGAGTCTCTCATTTTGATGGAGTGAACTCAACTTGCATGTTGCCAAAATTAAAGCAAGTTGAGGCACATGCACGTTATATCGATGAAGCATTTGATAAAGCATTTGAGACTCCGGGCCCTCAAATGCCTCGTACCATAATTAGTGCTAACATGAACCATTCTTGAGACCTCAAGACATCCGTGAATCTTGTGGTCTTACTTACAAGATATGGTGTGATCACAACATGCCAATGACATTAGAGATCAGATGTGTATTATCAGTAGCACATAACAACATCCCAATGACATTAGAGATTGGTATGTGTTATATATTTCAGGAAGGAAGACACTAAATGTGATCTCATGCGATTTTCTAAAAACATTAGAGATAGGTGTGTATTATCTTTAGCACATAACAACATCCCAATGACATGCTAGTTGCTAAACAAAGAACAAAGTTTATATGTGCAAATTATAGGCTGACTTCACATGAAAATATATGGACGAAAAAAGTTATACATCCCCATATTCATAAAGGATAACCGTACACATGATAAAAAAAAGAATCCATAATGACATGTAATATCAGATGCATTGGCATAATTCTATCATAATAGCTTCGTCATATCTAGATCAACTGCCAAAGGAGTGAGTCATGAAAGATGTGAAGACAAACAGTTAATAGAAGAGATAACAGAAACAACTAACAAAGGGTTTTTGGCTTAGCAATGTGAGAGTACAGCAGACCCTTTCGTGTCAGATCCAAATCGACTCATGGCTTGCAGATGGATTGGGTCCGATGCATGAGAAGTCTGATCGGATTAAGATTCAGCCAATTGGCTAACTTACAATACATGGCAAATCCAATTCAATCAGACCTGGGTTTCTTTGGTGCCTGTATCGAAAGCTTAATTAACACACTACTTCAGTTTAATCAACCTATTTTGCATCGGCTTGTACAGCACAAGCTTACCTACCTTCATACATGTAAACCTTGTGGCCCTCAAATCCAGTGATTTGATTACACATGCACCGGGCATAAGCAAAAGATTAGTGACAGGCAATAGGTAAACGACGGTTCGATTATTTGTTTCCAGAACCAAGTGTGTCATGGTGAGTGCCCATAGCAGCCTCCATGGTCCCAATAAAACCATGTTAGAGTCTCTAAGCATGCCTTTGTTTTTCTAGGTTTTGCAGCAAAAAGAATTTGAATCACTAGCATCATGAAGGCTGATCGAGCTCTTTTTCTATGTAGCACCTCAACATTTTTGTTTGGCAGCTTTATCTGGATAACAAGATGTCATGTAAAAGAATTCAGTGCTGAATACAGCACAACTTTAAGGCTCACATGACTGATGTTCTCTGTGGCTCTGAATTATCATACTTCATGCAACGATTAGTAAGGATGATCACAGAATAAAAAATGGGTTAAATATCCACAAATTATGTTTCATTAGCAACATCCAGACTAACCGAACTCCCGAGATATTTTGTTGGCATCTTCGTCTGGATATGAATCTGTCATGTAAAGAGTTGCATACCAGCTAGGAGACATAAAATGAAAACTATAACTTCAGCTTGGAAACTGCCCATAGGAAAGAGCAAAGATGTCATCAACTTGGTACTTATTGATTTATGGTTGGGTGAGCAGTACCTATGGAATATACATAGGGTCATATGCTTGGGCCAGAAAGAAAAACAAAGTTGTCATATATGGTTTGTGTTCTCGTAGTTGTGATCCTTTTCATATCTCAAATATCATATTGAATCCACATACCACACGCGTAAAGGTGGGTTGGGACACTAGAGTGGTCCTCAAGTTGGATGATTGTTCTGTTAATTCTAAGCTAATACAAGAAATACATACGCATCAGAGGTTGGAATGTCAACTTCATTAAGACTGCAACTGCTAGCTCAGGACAATCTAAAGGAGACTGCTTCTTCCTGTTCTCTCTGTCCTACTTACTAGTATATTGAGGTGATGCTAGGAAACATGACATCGACTGAACAACTGCTTCTATTTGACCCTCAGTCCACAATAAAAAGCCATATAAAGCAGTCATTTAAAATGCCTATGGTTTCAATTATGTCCTCTATCAACTTGCCGTCCACAATTGAAACTGGACTCCTTCCTAATCCTTGAAGGCTATTTCTTTTTTACTTGGCTTCCATAGGCACGTTGCAGATTATGCACTGAACCCCTCCAGAGAATTGCACAATTCCTCTCTCTCTCTCTTTCTTTCTTTCTGATCAAAACAGTAGGTGGAGAGAGCACCATCCATACATACCCATGCATATGCGCAATCCCCACTGATTCCCTTCCTGCACCGTCTCCTCCTCCCTCCCCCTCTCTCTGTCGTGAGAGCATGTCCATCAATTCTCGGACGCTATACCACCACTATTTCTAAGTCAACTCCTCTTCTGTAATCGTGACCACGTCCAGGACCCTTTGAGCGCCAAGTCTCCCCCTCCCTCCCTGCTACGAACCGACTGTCCCCGCCGCGGCCGGAACAACGAATTAGAGAGAGACATGGGTCTCGCTTTAATTCTCGGCCTTGCGGCGGCCATCGCAGCTCTTATACTTTGCGGCTCCCTCGCCTTCATCGCCTACCTTAAGTTCTTCCGCGCCGGGGTCCTGTCCTCCAGCCCCACCAGCGACGTCGAGCTTGGGGCAGACGAGGGCCAAGCAGCCGACGTCTCCAAACTGGCGATCTCTCCCCAGAAAGAGGCGGACGTTCGTCGGCACAGGTGGCAGGAGGTCGAGGCCCTCCTCGGCGACCGCGCGGCCGCCGCTGTGATCGGAGAGGGAGGCTTCAGCACCGTCTACCTAGCCCGCCTCCCCGACTCCACCCTCGCAGCCCTCAAGGTCTACGCCGGGGGCGGCGGTGAGCTCCCGCGCCGCGCCTTCCGCCAGGAGCTCGACGTCCTCCTCCGGCTCCGCCACCCGCGCATCGTCCGCCTCCTCGCCTACTCTGACGACCGCGGTAAGCTCAGCTCCTCAAATCAAACGATTCATTGCCACTTTTATTGCCCCCTTCCCCAATCAAGAAATCATATGTCATATTTTTTTTCCGATTGTGTCTCCGGCCAAACTCACATAAGGAGATTATTTGACGTGTGTGCGATTAGTTTATATTAAGCGGAATTAAATTAAAAGGTATAATAGATGACTCCTATAAAGTAATATTTCTTTTTTGTTTTGTTTTTGTCTTATGGAGTAAGTCGAGGGTTTTGTAATGGACTGCAGAAGAAGACGACGACGAAGGGGTTCTGATGTTGGAGTACGTACCGAACGGGACGCTCCACGAGAAGCTCCATGGTGGTGGCTCCACCCTGCCATGGGCCGCGCGCACGCGTGTCGCGTACGAGGTCGCCGGTGCCGTCGAGTATCTCCACGACGGAGGAGGCTCCAGCCTCCCGATCGTCCACGGCGACCTGACGACGGCGAACGTGCTCCTCCATGTCGATCTCGGCCCCAAGCTCTGCGACTTCGGGTCGGCCCGGGTCGGATTCTCGGCGGCGGTCCGGCCGGCGGCGCCAGTGGTGGGGTCACCGGGTTACACCGACCCGCACTACCTCCGGACCGGGATCGCCTCCAAGAAAACGGACGTGTACAGCTTCGGGGTCCTCCTCCTGGAACTCCTAACGGGACGCCCAGCCGTCGGATCGGAGGGCGGAATGACGCTGGCGGCGGCGATGGCGCCGCGGCTGCGGGGCGCGGGGAGTGGGGTGGCGGAGGTGGTGGATCCCAGGTTGGGTGGCGAGTACGACGAGGCGGAGGCGGCGGCTATGGCGGCGATCGCCGCATCCTGCGTCGGGGAGCAACCAACCTTGAGGCCGTCGATGACGGAGATACGGAGCATCATGCGGGAGGCGGTGGGATCGTCGGTGATGTCGACCTTCGATGGGGGATCCGATGGGCAAAATAAAGAAACAGAAGAGTAGTCAAGGTTTAGGCCGCAAGGAAATTAACTTTGTAACTGTCGACTGAAACAAGGCACCGGCGCAGGTTGATGAGAACTAAACATTAATAGTAGTAGTAATAAGATGGTTTGGTCCTAATCCTCCTCCATTGGGGGGAATACATGCGCCACATATATAAAGGCAGAATCAACGAGCTCGTTACCTAACGGAACGAAAAAACAGAAGCATGATAAACATACATCGTCATTTCATCTGAAACAGAACGAGATCCAAATTTCCTGCGTCCCATTGTTCTTCATGCTCTTTCTTAACCGACTAACCTTTTTTCTTTTGAGAGTGAAACAAGATGACACGGAAGATGGCGGATCGAAGATTCACAAGGTGTCAAAGAGTGAAACAAGAACTACTAAAGCCCCGCATAGATAGCAGATAATAAAGAATGCAAATTTTTTCCTTAAATCCCACCAGATTATTGCAACTAAAATTATATAAATAAACCACATCCTCCTAAAATAATCATGCTAGATGTACGTGGATAATTGCTTTTACACATAAACTAGCTAAGTTGGGGCGAACTTCAGTACTATATTCATCTTGGGGAAATAATTTTGATTGGACACTTCTGTCATGTTCTATGCTAGTTTTTTATGATACTAATGAATAATTTTATTTTTTAAAAAATTATTAATTATAAATCAAGTGTCCAGAACATAATATCTGATAGGAAAAAGATATAATTGATGTTCAAATCAGTTGGAGGCCTTGTAGAAGTCAATGTGGGTGGGCTCACGTGCTTCCATGATGCTTGAGGTTCAAGAAGCCTTCGATGAAGATGAGCATATAAGTCGGGATTGTCATCGTGGAAAAGAGGCCTAGGTTATTGACTAGATGTTAATGCCAAGGTAGACGACAAACTGACGTTCCTATAATATGACTCTTCTTTTGGTACTAAAATATTAGGGGTACATGCTATTGACATTCAGATTAGTTCGATATGGTTTGATTGGTATTATTGAGGAAACACCGGAGGTCTCATGGTATTGGATGATGACTTGTACAAAAATTCAAGTTAAGAATGGATTTCCTTACCCGATCCGTTCGACATCAAAATTAACTTAGATGTGAGGTGAAGTGAGATAAAAATGATAAAATGATAGACTCATCTCAATTCTTGGGTAAGAGATAAGCCTTTATACCGGGTAAAAAGAGAGAAAAAAATATTCTAAAAAATATTTCCTTAGCTAATAGAAAGCCTCTAAACATTTCTCTCGAACTCTTTATCCATTTAGACAATAGAAAGAAAATGTTTGTTTTGGACTTTATGTCCACACAGACAAATCAAGGGGCAGGTCTTGTCTTTCCCGTGCCAGCTTGGTCATCATACGGATACCACAGAGATCATGTATCGAATGATAATTGATCGTATATCATTAACTAATGTAAAAACAATTAAGACAAAGCGAAGATAAAAGAAAAACTATGACAATAAAAAAGCAAGATTAATCATAGTTAAGCATTTCATATATCTTCTCTTCAGGATTGGGATTGTAAGCACTCGCCGTCAACTGGAATCCAACCCTGCAGCATCAAGAACAGATGGTCCAAGAGAGGACCTCCACCGAGGTATGGCTGACATCAAACACAACCCCATACCACAATCATTCTGCCATACAAAGATCTTAAAATCAACAACAAATCAGAACCCCAGTGATCTTCCCTGTCAGAACAAGAACAATAACTGGTTTAGAAATGGAGTAAGGCAAGATCACAACAGCAGACCAAAGCAAGCGCGGGCATCTGCGTCTCCCGTTTCCAACAAAAAAAAAAGAAAGAAGAAATCGAGCAAAAAGAAATCAAGATCGCGGAAGAACCGAACGAACACTACTATCGAGGGGAAAAGGAATGGGAAAGAGAACAAGAAAAAGATTCTTTCTACCTTGAGATGCCGCGAACGAAGCCCACCAAAGACGGAGAATGGAGCGGGGATCCAGATACAACCAACCCGACTACCCTAGCAACTTTATGCCGTGGCCGATCAGAACGGCTTGGTCTGATTCGTAGTGCGCATAGTTTCTTTTTCTCTCCCGCGGGTTTGCTGTTTCGTCACTAAGTTCCTATACATAGGCCGGGAGATGATTTCTGGGCTCGATCTCTCCAAAGCTCGAGTCAGTTTCGAGTAGAGTTATAGGGAGTTAAGGTGTTTAAAGTCCGACTCAGTTATCTTTTATACTTACGAACTAAGATCGATCGTACATGATTTATTAATGACTTAGTGTCTTTTGCTCACTAGGTCGGCTGTTGTGCTGGGATTAGTGCTTCAATTGTCGATTGATCGGGAGCTTCTATTCGGGAGCTGAACTGGTTGAGCGACATAACTCGAGGACTGGGTTGGCTGAGCAACACTACTCGGGTGCAGGACTGGCTGAGCAACACTGCTTAGGTGCAGGACTGGCTAAGCAATACTACTCGGGCATTGGGCACTTGACTGATCGAGACATGACTCGAATATTAGACTAGTCACGAGGCGCGACTCGTGCATCAAACTGACCCCGAGGCATGGTTCCGGCATTAGACTGGCTAAGACATGACTCAGATATTGGATTGGTCGTGAGGCATGGCTCGGGCATCAAACTAGCCATGAGGCATGGTTCAGGCATTGGACTCGCTGAGATGCAACTCAGACATTAGACTGGCCGCAAGACGTGGCTCGGGCATAGGATTGGTCGAGATGTGACACTGATATTGTTTGGCCGAGGTGCACAACTCAAGCACTGTTTGGTCGAGGTGCACGATTCGGACATTGTTAGCGCAAGGTGCATAACTTGGGTATTGTTTGACTGGGGTATATGATTCGAATATTATTTGGCCAAGGTGCACCACTCGGGCACTGTTTGGCCAAGGTGCACAACTACAACATTGTTTGGATAAGGTGCACAACTCGGACATTGTTTGGCTGAGGTGCACGACTCGGACACTGTTTGGCTGAGGTGCATGATTCGGACATTATTTGAATGAGGTGCGCTACTCAGACACTATATGACCGAGGTGCACAACTTGAACACTATTTAGCCGAGATTCATAACGTGGGCACTGTTTAGCCGAGGTGCATGACTCGAGCACTATTTGGCAAAGGAGCAGGGCTCGGACATTGTTTCGTCGAGGTTCATGACTCGTGCACTGTTTGGCCGAGATGCATAACTCAAACACTGTTTGGCCGAGGTGTATGGCTCTAGCACTATTGGCTGAAGTGCACCAGTCGGGCATTATTTGGCTGAGGTGCACAACTCGGACATTGTTTGGCCAAGGTGCACCACTTGGACACTGTTTGGCCGAAGTGCACAACTTTGGCACTGTTTGGCTAAGGTGCACCATTCGGGCACTATTCGCCGAGGTGCACCTCCGGGGCACTATTTGGCCGAGGTGCACGACTCGGGCACTGTTTGGTCAAGGTGCATAACTCATGCACTATTTGGCCGAGGTGCACCATTTGGGCACTGTTTGGTCGAGGTGCACCATTCAGGTAATGTTTAGCCGAGGTGCATGATTTGGGCACTGTTTGGCCGAAGTGCATCATTCAGGTACTGTTTGGTCGACGTGCACGACTTAAACAATGTTTGGCCAAGGTGCATGACTTGGACACTGTTTGGTCGAGATACACAATTCGAACACTATTTAGTCGATGTGCATAACTCGGGCACTATTTCACCGAGGTGCACCATTGGGGCATTGTTTGGCCGATGTGCATGACTCGAGCATTGTTTGGCTAAGGTGGATGACTCGGACACTGTTTTACCGAGGTGCATAACTCGAGCACTATTTGGCCGAGGTACATGACTCGGGCACTATTTGGCCGAGGTACATGACTCGGGCACTGCTTGGCCGAGGTACATGACCAGGGCATTGTTTGGTCGAGGTGCACGACTTGAGTACTATTTGGCCAAGGTGCACAACTCAAACACTAGTTGGCCGAGATTCATAACTCAAGCATATGACTGGCCGAGATTCATAACTTAGGCACATACTCTATTGTAACAGGCCCCTTTTTTTATCTACACACCTTGGGCTCATCTACTTCTGGCCTTGCCATGGTAGGTCTTCTTCTTTCCCCGATCTACTCACATGAGTAGCTCCTAGCGGGGCCTCTTATATGACTCCTCGCGCTTTCTCGCTATTGGAAAATCTTGGGGCAACATCACATGCGCAGCGGAAGGACAAAAAATAAAATCTCCGATTCCCAAAAAGATGTTCATCGTCATGCGAAGATTGGTGCGTAAAAATTCATTAAACAAACTGCGTATAGAGTAGATTGTGTTACCTAGGGAGATCGTATATCCTTGAATCCTGGTAGATCTCTAGGAGATGGTGAAAGAGGTCAAGCGTTCTCCTCTCTAGCGGTAATCCACACAGCAGGGCTGCGACAACGCTCCTCAAAACTTCAAGCCTACTATGAGGTGGAGAGGGGCAGGAGAATAAGAGAGGCAAGCAAAGACTCTAACCTATGAACCACTAAATCCTTCCTATTTATAGAGGTCCCCTGTCAAACCCTAATGGATCCTCCCATATTGGGTATTGGATTTGCATCCAACTACCCAAGCTTCTTAGATTAGTAGATCTCTATCCAATAATCTCTTATGGGCTCTTATTGGATCTCATCTATATGATCTTATTGGATATCCAATAATTAATGGGCTTATTGGATATCCAATAAGTTAGGGGCTCTGGCGGATATCTCATATTCGAACCTCTACTCATCGCAACGCCTACTATATGTGTGTGACCCTCTAGGCCCAATATCGAGCTGGTCATGAGTCATACCTATCAGAACTCCTTCTGGCTCAGTGAATTATTATCTCTATAATAATTCACTCGACTCATCGACTACGGTCGTACTAGGCCACTATGCCGCAGTCCCCAGACGATATAGGGGAATCCAATCCATTGGACCTGTCTGTCCTCAGTTACCATGTACTTATAGTCCCTCATCCATCTAATATCCCAGAGACCGTATACCGGGTATGGTGTTGTTAGACCCATACAGTTTCTACTCAAGTCTCGTTCTAATCGAATTTTCTCATAGAACTCTTTTTCTCTCAATCCAAATGACCCTGACCAGGGATTTGTCTAAGCAAGAACACATACGATGGCGGATCAAAGATTCACAAGGTGTCAAAGAGTGAAACAAGAACTACTAAAGCCCCGCATAGATAGCAGATAATAAAGAATGCAAATTTTTTCCTTAAATCCCACCAGATTATTGC